AATGCAGCACCGCGGGCAAAAAGTTGACCTCGACATCGTTGCGGGCACGTCGCGCTGCCCCAGTGACACGGTCCACGTCCGCGCCTGGAGCCAGCGCACTCTGCGCACTGGATCTGCACGCCGAGCCGGTCCTGCGCGTAACGGCCTGGGGATCCGCCCCAGCGGAGTCGTAGGAACCGCTGGTCAGTGAATTGGGCGACGGCGTCAGCTGCTGGTCGATCGGAACGGCACCGGGTGCAGAATGCCAGATGTGCACCAGATGTGCAATGCCGTCTCTCGTTCCCTGTCGGGCGTCGTCGGCGATGGGGCGGGCTGGACCGTCATGGCTGCAGCGTCGGCCATTGCCGCGGCCAGAGTCCCAGGCCAAGTTCCACGATACTCGTGCACTGCCAGGTCGGTCTGCTTGGCTCGTCGGAGGACCGATGATAGGCTCATGTTGGCGACGGTGTCGCGGTGGAACACCGGCCCCCACTCTATGGTGGCTTCGATCGCCAAGGAGGCGCCTTGTAGCACGCAGCGACGGGCGTGAAGTTGTTGATTCGTCACCACGTCTAGGTCTATGCCGCATAGCCCCCATCGAAGCCGGAAGGCGTCGGCCCACCCCTGGAGTAGTTGGTAGGCAGGTACGTCGGTTCGGAGGAGGCCGCGGGTGCACAACACCACCTTGGTCAGGTGTTGGGAATCTCGATTAACTGTGCGGACCAATTCTTCGAACATGGCGAGACCAGTGACTGTGGAAAGGTCCTTCCCGTCCAACGCTGCGAGCATGGGGTCGGCGTCGAGGTGCTCGCGTGCCGGGTGCGCGTCAGATGCTCTGCGTAAGTAGCTGAGGTAGGGGTCGTGCACCTCCAGCGTCATGCACTGCGTGCTCCGCGCCCACGGGGCAAACAAGGTGTCGATGTCGATGCCGACGCTGCCAGCGGGGATGCAGCGGCGTTCCAGGAGCCTCGGGGGGTTTGGGGCCTCCGGGTCTCGCGGCGCGGCCAGGTCGTGCCAGAACCTGCGCGTGCCCGCTGCGAGAAAGGGGCGCGCTGAGCCGTGTCGACTGGCCACCCTGCGAGAGCGATCCTGCAGGTTACCGTGTGTTGGTCGACCTGGTGTTGGTGCTGGTCGACCTGGTGTTGGCGCTGGGCGCTGGCGTTGGTGCTGGTAGAGCTGGTGTCGGTCGTGGTTGGTCGGAGTGCTGGTCGTGGTGCTGGCCGCTGTGCTGGCCTTTGTGCTGGTAGGTGCACGCGCACACACGCGCGCAGACACAAATAACAAGATTCCCAATATTTGTCAACTAGAACCACGCGCGCGCTTCGCGCGCGCTTAGGTTCTAGCCGCGCCCATGGGATTCGCGTCGGAAGTTGCGAATGTCCCGGTCAGAGATGCAAGGGCCAATTGTGCCACAAGTTATTGCTTGATGCCCACTCCACACTTACAATTCATCACGCTTCTTCCAATCAGTATACAGGTATGCATATGCGGGCACGCAGGTGCATATGTGTAGGGTGGCATTGGGCGAGAACGGCCGTCACGCATTTGGCTTTTTCTTCTCCTCCTCGCGGCGACCGCCAGGAGCGCCGCAGATGCCGCTGGGGGCCAACTGTCCCCTTCACGCACGGCGGCCCCCCGTCCGGGTCGCCCGGGCGGGCCCCGGCCCTCACGGGCATGCCCCATCGAGCTCGAAGGCGCGCGCCAGCGCCCAGCTGCCCAGCGCGCGCAGCGCCTCGCAGTTTGGCGCGGGGCTAGGCCAAGGGTGCACATGGTGCATGTGGGGCAGGGCGCGTGGGAAGGCGCACGCATGAGTTGTTGGGAACAGCGAGGCGTGGTGCAGGACATGGGGCTGGATACGGCAGGAGAGTCATCGGCAATTGAACTGGGCGGTTGCGATGCTCCAGGCCCGGGCTGAGCATGGCACATGCTGCATAAGTCCGGTGTTTGCTCAGAACCACGGCGACGAAAACGCAGGGAACATGGGCGTGCGTTTTGCAGGCAGTCGGGGCACAAGTGCTGGCCCTCTCCGCGGTTTACCAAATTGGGGCATCCAGTTGCCGAGCATGTTTTGGGATTGGCGGGGCCATGGAGGCACCTGCGAGCAGCCGTAGACGTGCAGGAGGGATGCGTTTGGCCAAGGCTCTTTTTCGCGGCAGCTGTGCAAAGGATGAAGGATGAGCAGCCGAGGGGCGCAAATCGGCATGGGAGATGACCAGCGGAGCACGCGTGGCATTTTTCTGCAGTTCGTTTCATGGACAGTTCGTGGCAGCCGAGTCTGCGATTCGAACATCTCGCCCAGTCTCTGCGCACGTCGTGGCAGGGGTCGGCGCAGTGGAAAGTGCAAAACTTCGGCACCGCGGATTTGCCGAAGGGAGGCGCGGCCGGCGAAGTGCATCGGTCATGCTCGCAGAGGGGACGGGCAGCGCAGGAGGGGCAGAATGGCAGTCGGCCTCTGGTGGATGTGCTTGACTTCTTCGGCCGAGATTTGAGGTGACTGCAAGTGGGGAAGTTCACGCAGGCATCCCGGGGACGAGTGGAGACCTCCGGCATGGACGCAATGAGCTCTCAGGCGAAGTCAACGAGCCTGAAGCGGCGCTCGTCCTCATCATCATCTTCCTCCTCCTCCTCCGCCTCCTCCTGTTGCAAAAGCAACCAATCGAAGAGCATCTGAATGTCAAATGCACGAAGAATGAACGAACAGTCCACGACGACGACGAGGACGACGATTAAGACAGCAAATACAGCCGGCGTCCATGCGAGAGCGCCCGGACCACATTCCAGATATCATCAATCATTAGTCTCTAGAAGTGAGCATTCGATCACGAAGACGACGACGGCGGCGGCGGTGGACGGCCATGCTGCCTTTGCGGCACGTGGGCTGCGGCGCCGCAGCGGCTGGGCCGCCGCACGAGCGGAGACGGCCGCCCCGAATCGCGGGTAGCGGCCAGCGCTCGCCGCGGTGCTCGCGCAGGGCCCGGAGGGCCGCCGCGACCAGGCTCACAGAGGAAGTGGCCGCAGCACGACACGGAGGGAACGGTCGCCGGTGACGGGGGCAGCAGGGGAAGCCAGGCGACTGAGGCGGAGGAGGGACAAGCAGGAGAGAGGGAAGCGAACGAGGAAGGCAGCAAGGAAGGAGCGGTGGGAGACGCATCGTCCCCCGATGTCGTCGATTGGACAGCAGAAGCTGCCCCGGAGGCGCATGGGATTCCTCGCGGTGAGTCTCTCAGGGGCCTCCTGGAAGCAGATCCGAAGCCTCTTGTGGCCCGTGTGTGTGCCTGTTCGAAGTTGGTTTGGGGCATCTTGGGAGTCTCTCGGGGGCTTCCTGGCGGCTTCTTGAGGGTCTCTTGGAGTGTCCTGGGCGCCTCCTGGGGGCCGCTTGGGGCCTCCTGGGAGCCTCTTGGAGCCGAAGGCTCGAGAAGTCCGCGAAGATCCCGCGTCAGGACCCCTTTTTGGAGCCGTCTTGGGGCCGTCTTGGGCCGTCATGGGGGCCTCTTGGGCCGTCTTGGGGCCGTCTTGGGGCCGCCTTGGGGCCGTCTTGGGCCGCCTTGGGGCCGTCTTGGGGCCGTCTCAGGCCGTCTTGGGGCGGTCTTGGGGGCTTCTTGGGCGGTCTTGGGGCGTCCGATCTCCGAAAAGGCGAGAACCCAAAAAACCTTCGAAAACCATTGAAAATCAATGATTTTTGCCTCTTGGGACCCTCTTGGGAAGGCCTCTTGGAGACCGCTAGCCGCGTTTTGGAGGCCACTGAAGCCGTCTTGGGATCATCGTGGGCGTCTTGGAGCGATCTTTGGGCGTCTCGGGGCCCTCTGGGACCACTTGGGGGCCTCCTCGGCCTTCTTGGGGCCGTCTCGGAGCCCCTGGGGACGCCGCCAGGGGAGGGACCCACGCATATACAAGGGAGGTTCCGGCCCGGGGCGCGGGGGCCGGGATCTCCCATGTATGTATATCTTTTCTGGAGGTCTGTCTTCCCCCCCACTTCCGATATCTTCCCATACTTTCTGGGAGGTCGGCGATTCACTGTGTCTGTGTGGCTCCTCCCCTCCTGGCAGTCATCCTCGCTCTCCGGTCTCCGCGTCGTGGGTCGGACCTCCGGCGGCCGCGCGAGAGGATCCGGACACCCCCGAAGCGCTCGGGCGGCGAGGCGCGGCAGCCGGGACGCGCCCCGAGGCCGGGAAAGCGACGAGAACCAACGAACGCGCCCGAGAACCTCGCACCTCGAACCTGAGCCTGCCCCTCCCCCTCCCCCTCCCCCTCCCCCTCCCCCCTCCTCCTCCTCCTCCTCCCTCCTCCTCCTCCTCCTCCTCCTCCTCCTCCTCCTCCTCCTCCTCCTCCTCCTCCTCACCCGACGTCTCGAAAGAAATGGAACCTCGTGAGAAATCACGCAGAGGCCACAGCAGGCCAAGAAGGGGTCACCAGGAAGGCCAGGGAGGCCCCCGAGAGGCTCCCAAGAGGCCCCATGAGGTTCCCAAGGGGCCCCAAAATTCCTCCCCAGAGGCCCCCGAGAGACTTCCGAAGAGACCCCGAGATCCAGCCCTGAGGACTCTGGCCAACGTCAGCGTCGTCGTCGTCACCGGTTGTCGTCGTCGTCGTCGTCGTCATCGTCGTCGTCGTCGGCGTCGGCGTCGTCGTCGTCGTCGTCGGCGGCGTCGTCGTGGTGGTCGTCGTTGTTGCCCTTCAGGGTCGGCGGCACCGGCCGTAAGGCCTTCGCAATCACGACCGGAGCCCTAGACCCCAGCTATCTGCGCAATCTGTCGAACCGGCTCGATCTGCGAGGGGCCCGTGGCCCGACACCACAGGCGACAGCGCCCGTTGTGAAAGAAGTGCAGCGCCAGGATCATCTCAGGAGACCAGCGAGAGCCGACGAACACGGCCGAGAACCTCGCACCTCGAACCTGAGTCTCCCCCTCCCCTCCCCCCCCCTCCCCCTCCCCTCCCCCCCCCTCCTCCCCCTCTCCTCCTCCTCCGCCTCCTCCGCCTCCTCCTCCTCCTCCTCCTCCTCCTCCTCCTCAATGTTGCCCCTGAGCCTCGAACACGTCGGAGTGCCCGGGGGCCACCGGTGACAGCATCTTCGCCTGGGCGCGCTGCGGGGTCCGAGTGGGCCGGCCACGCGCGGGGGGCCTCTGGCGCTGTCGCGGTGGTTGGCCAGCCTGCGGCGGTGCGGAGGGCCGCGGGCCGCCAGCGGCGGCGGAAGGGCTCTCGGAGTGGCGGTGCGCTGCTGGGCAGATGGCCACCCTGCGTCCAAAGGTCGGGGAGACGTAAGACTCGGGTTTGGGGGACTCGGGCTGGCCTGACAGGGGGCCGTCATGAAAATGACGAGACCCAGGCTGAAGTTTGATGCGACCCCCCGCCGCAAACATCCCACGAAAACTGGACCGTCAAAATCCAGGACGCGCTCGTCAAGGAACGTCGGGCGAACCCGAGTCCCGGCGCATTCGAGTCTTACGCTTCCCCGAAGGAGGGCGAGCCCAGCTCCCGGAGAGGGCCGCGACGCGGGGAGCGGCAGAGGAGAAGACAGGGACATCGGTGCCACCGCCCTTCCCTCGCCGCCACGGCTGGCTTCGCCTCGAAACTCTGGTCAGAACGCACCCCTGGAGAGGTCCGGGGAGTGGCGGCATCGGTACTTTTTCAGAGGCCTCCTACATGGGATCTGAGTCGATGGGGTCGGAGGATCGCGACGCATCGCCGATGAATCACCGATGCATCGACGATGCATCGACGATGCATCGGCGACGTCGGCGATGCGTCGGCGTCGTCGGCGCGAAGAAAATGGGGCTCCACATCGAGGCGCATCGCCGATGCATCGGCGATGCGGCGCGATCCTCCGACCCAATCTACGCGGACCCCGTCGAAGAGGCCTAGATTTCTATGCCTCCAGAACACGGGGAGCTCGAAGAAAGTAGCAGAACGGCCAAGGCTCTGGGGCTCACTTGGCACAGGCGGGGGGGCCCTCAGAGGATCGGGTCCTTGCCCCCCAGAGCTTCCCGCATGGGCCCGCTGCTCGTTGCAGGCTTCTTTTGCCAGCCCCATGGGCCAGAGGAGGGGCCCCAGGACTCCGAGAAGAACGGGGGGGAACTAGGCATCACCCCTTTCCCTCAGGACCCCCTTCCCTGAGATCCAACGTGGCTCGAGAAACGTGGCAGAAAGGTGGGGCCTATGGCACTGACCCAGAACGAGGGAAGACCAGTCAGGACCCCTTGTTCTCAGGACCCCCTCCCTGAGATCCGACGTGGCTCGAGACACGTGTCAAAAAGGTGGGGTCTAGGGCACGGGCTCGAGGCCCGAAGCCGGGCGAAACGAAAGCAACATGAGATGGCTGCAGCGACGAGGAGGTGGGGGCAGCAAACGGTCCCGATCTGGAGAAGGACGAGGGGGCAGGAGGAGGAGGGGGAGGAGGAGGGGAAGCAGCAGGAGGAGGAGGAGGAGAGGAGGAGGAGGAGGAGGAGGAGGGGGCAGGAGGAGGAGGGGGAGGAGGAGGGGAAGCAGCAGGAGGAGGAGGAGGAGGAGGAGAGGAGGAGGAGGAGGAGGAGGAGGAGGAGGAGGAGGAGGAGGAGGAGGAGAGGACGCGGAGGATGAAGACGACGAGGACCCAGACCTCCGACGTCGCGCTTTTTTCGCAATCTGGATCCCAAGAAGTCTGGACCTGCTACCTGGGACCAGCTTCTCATCCCGAGTGCTTGTTGTTGACGATCGCATGGCCAGGGCCAAGGGGGCCGAAGCAACAAGAACGCTTTCCCTCGTGACCTTTCCGCGACATGAGGATGTATGGGCAGGGGGAGGAACGCCGCGCCAGGAGGCGGCGGAGCACCAGGATGAGGGATATGAGGGGGAGGAGGAGTGGGGAAGATGATGATGATGATGATGATGATGATGATGATGATGATGCTGATGATGGTGATGATGATGATGATAATGATGATGATGATGATGATGACGACGATGATGATGATGATGATGATGATGACGATGACGATGGTTACGACGATGATGATGATGCTGTTGCTGATGCTGCTGCTGCTGCTGCTGATGATGATGATGATGATGGCGACGATGCTGATGATGACGGTAAAAATGATCAGGGTGATGTGACGATGACAGTGATGGTAATGGGAATTATGAATACGATGATGCTGGTGGTATGATGAAGATGATACGTAAGACACGATGCGACCAACGCTGCGGACATCGTCCGGGCCTAGCTAGGACCAGGTTGGCAATGCCTTGGCCTCAGAAATCTGGCGTGTCTGAACAGCATGCAATGCGAGACACATGTATAACAAGTTATGGGATGAGAGAGGGGGGGAGGTCCTGGAGTTCGATGCCAGCGTGCTGCACGGTATGCTCGTGTGCCGGTGTGGGATGGGATGGAGTGAGGGAGGGAGAAGAAATCCTTCGTGTCGGTATCGGCGCGGGTAGTAGGAATTTGGGTTTTTGGTATTGGTTCTGTGTGCTTGCTGGTGCAGAGTCGGTCAGTGATGCTCGAGTGCCGTTCATGTTTCGGTGTCCTGGGCTGTTCGCATCCATGTGATGTCGTTTGGTTCACATTTCGAATGGGTCTGTGCGGGCGGTCGGTGGAGATCTGGTCTGCGTTGGCGTATGTCCGGGTGATCCGTGAGTGTCCAAGTCAAGTTTCTGTTTCCTGCACCATATAACGCTGTCGGTGTCACTGTTCTGTTGGAAAGCCAGAGTCCGTGAGCCAGCGGGTAGTGCTTACTAGTCAATTCCTGTTTGCGGGAGGTGAGCGATGCCCATGCCGCCCTTGCGCGGTGCGGATTTCCCGTGTCCATCGGTTCGCGGAAGCTGATCAATTGTCAGAAGTATTTGAGGCTGCCCTCGTACGGGATGGTTTCTAGATCCATTCCCAAGACACGGGCTGTGCGTGGGCTCGCCCCTTTGGTTCTTCTCGTCTGGTTGCTGACGAATCTTGGTTTGCTCGGACGTAGTTCGAGCCCGTGCAACTTTGCCGCGCGCTCAAAGTCGTCAAGCATCATAATCAGACGAGGGAAAGTTTGGCTGGTCAGGAGCAGATCGTCGGCGAAGCGTAGTTTATGATAATGTTCATGGTGATGCTGAAGATGATGCTGCTGCTGGTGGTAATGATGATGATAGTGGTAGTGATGATGATACTGCTGACGATGATGATGATGATGATGATGATGATGATGATGATGATGATGATGATGATGATGATGACCATGGCCATGATGATGACGGCGATGCTTATGTCACTAATGATGTTGATGATGGAGGTGATGAAACTGATGTGGTGATGGTGGTTAAGATGCTGATGATGCTGCTGGTGATGATGGCAATGACGAGGACGATGACGATGGCGATAAGGATAAGCATGATGATGATGCTGATGCTGATACTGATGCTGATGATGATCATGGTGGTAATGACGGAGAAGAGGAGGAGGAGCAAGAGGAGGACGGAGAAGAGATGAGGAGGAGGAGGAGGAGGAGGAGGAGGAGGAGGAGGAGGACGGAGAGATGAGGAGAGAGGAGGAGGGAGGAGGAGGAGGACGACGACGACGAGCAGTGCCGCGCCAGGGCCGCGCCAGACGCGCCAGCTGGTCCGGGGGCAGCGCTGCCTGGGCCTCGAGCACGAGCCGCCGCCCCGCCACCTGGTCCCGGACGGAGGAGGACCTCCCCTTCCTCCTCCTCCTCCTCCTCCTCCTCGCCTCTCCTCTCCTCTCCCTCGTCCTTCTCCTCCTCCTCCTCCTCCTCCTCCTCTTCCTCCACCTCCTCTCTCCTCCTCCGCCTTTTCAACCCCTCGACCTCCTCGACCTCCTCCTCCATCTCCTTCTCCTCCTCCTCCGCCTCGTCCTCGTCCCCATCCTCGTCGTCCTCCTCCTTCTCCTCCTTCTCCTCCTCCTTCTCCTCCTTCTCACCAGTGTTCTCCTCCTCCTCGTCCTCATCCTCCTCCTCGTCGCCGTCCTCCTCCTATCCTCATCCTACTCCTCTTCTCTCTCCTCCTCCTCCTCCTCCTCCTCCTCCTCCTCCTCCTCCTCCTCCTCCTCCTCCTCCTCCTCCCTCCTCCTCCTCCTCCTCCTCCTCCTCCTCCTCCTCCTCCTCCTCCTCCTCCTCCTCCTCATCGTCCTCCTCCTTCACCTCCTCCTCCTCCACTTCTTCTCCTCCCCATCATCCCTCTTTTCTTCCTCCTCCTCCTCCTCCTCCTCCTTGCCCTGCTATGTTCATTAGCCAAGTTGGATCTAGCTTTGAGGTTTTCCTAAGGACCCAGTGGCCACCGCTGTTCCGAGGCTTTGTCTCCAAGCTTTCAGCCTTGTCCGCACGGGCCAGAGCTGCAACTGGCCCGCCCCAATTGCAACGACACCTTGCGCCAACGTGTGAGGTCGTTTTCCGTGAGCTCCTGCCGGCGCGAGTCGGCAAGACATCGGACTGGGGCATCTTGCCTTTACATGTGTTATTACCTGCCCCAGTTGGGTCTACAGCTGAAAGCTCGAGAAATCAGGAGGGTGGTGCAACAAGTGCGAGAGAGTCATCCCTGGATGGGCGACTGAGTGGCCAGCGCTGGGCGGCTCAGGGGGAGGAACAGCCTAGCAGAGAGCCTGCCATGGTGGAAGCAGGGCGCCGACATGGGCCCCTTCGGCGAGATCGGCGTGCTGCTGGAGAACACCAAGGTCGGCACACTACCTCGGCAGGGAAGGCGCCCAACCTCGACCTCGCCCCGATCAAACTCATCCAGCAACACATCGAGACACCAGCACCGAAGACGGAAGCGTCAAAGGAGGTCGAGCTGCGTGAGGCCATCGACTAACTCCACAGGTGCCAGGCAGCTATGGAGACCACGACGTCGCAGCTCCAGGAGGCGGTGCAGCGGCTCGAAGCCACCCGAGCGAAGAATCAGGACGCGCTAAAGGCAGCCGCGGACACCATCCAGGAACACCCGCGGATTTTACAGGCGTGCCAACACCAGGTAGCTGGCATCCAGGACACCTCCGGGCCGACGGAGAAGCCCTCGGAGCCCCCTGACGTGGGCGACTTGCTCCAGGGCGTCGAAGACTTCGATGAGGCTGCCACGGCGAAGCTCACGAAGATCTAGACAGACGTGGAGAAGCTGGCGAACATTATTCGCGCAGCCAAGGACGAGTACAAGCATTGCCACGTACTCAATCAGCAGGCGATGGACTTCAAAAGAGCTGAGGCGCAGAAGAGGAAGTTGGGCGATGAGGGGGCAAGAGAGGTCCAAGCTCTAGCAGCAGGCGAAAACCAAGGTGCGCAAGGCTGCCGCGACCAGCGCAGCAAGGCCCGCAGAGAAAACCCAGGGGAGCGTTAGCAGTGCCGTTTCAGCTACTCCTAAGCCTGCAGCTTAGCATCTCCGTCTCGAGTGTTACCAAGTGGGGGCCCCAAGCCCTCAAATACCTCGTCGAGGACCGCAAGACTACGAAAATGATCCTGGTGTGCGGGACGCACCATGGCAAGGCAGTAGAAGAAACAATACGAGAAGACGTATCACGGGACGGATCGAATTTGGTGGCGGCGTCCCTGGCACCAACCAGAGATGACTAGAGCCGGGAACATCGGAGGCGAATTAATCTTTACAGGGGCGCACCTAGCGCGCACGGGTTACGGCTCAACGGGGAAGGGGCAGTGCGAGCGCGGGGATTAAGACCCCTCCAGAGGGTTCACAGCAATGACCATTTACATCATATCGGGTAACATCGTGCACATATCGGCAAACGGGGTCGTCCACCTTCCATCGGCTTCGTGCGCTGGCAAGTTGCATCAAATTACTCACGGGCCCGTGGGTGATACGGGCTAATTGGAACATGACCTACACTGACATGATTCAATCTGACGGCCCAGGAGGATTGGGGCTTGCCGGTCAGACCAGAATTTGAAATACCATGCGGCACGGGTAAGGGCATCCTCTTCGATGGGCCTAGGACCACGACCAACACTAAGAGCAGCAGGTCAGGTGCCATGGCGAACGTATAGTGGGCTGATGTTGGAGATCATTGGTGCCAGGGAGGGGTGGTGGCACAGACAGATGCAACGGCCAAGGGAATTGCCGCAACGACCAAAGGCCAGACCTCATCCAGAGAGCGAGACGGCCACACTGAAGCAAGAGTTTTTTGCTGCAGACAACTGCCAGGCAAACTTCCGCAGATATTGACAGGCAGGACACAGGAAAGGACCCACCCGCAAGCGCCGACTGCTTCGAGCCCTGCACCGCGAGTGCCAATCGCGAAAACCAGTGCGGAGCATGCGCTGCAGAGCAGTAGCCATGGCATAAACGTCACTGGACTGTATACGCCCGCCGCCCGCAGCCGAGACGCCGAGAAGCGGAAGATCAAGGAGAGGCTGGACGCAGAAGCCGAGAAGCCCAGAGGCTGGATGCCCATCTCTGGGAGGCCTGCGGGGACGTGCAGGACATGGAGGGGAGCGCGGAGGGCCAGCAAGAGATGCTGCACCACATCGCGAGCGGGACGCGGCAGCGCGCTTCCACGGAGAACGGGGCCTCGTGACGAACGAACAGCACACACCCATACCCATAGGGAGGTCGGAGGGAGAAGGACTGGCTATGGGTATGGGTGCGGGTTGTTGGACCCCTGGGAAGGCTCCCGTTCGAGCGCGGACCCCCATCCGACAACACGCACCCATAGCTCATTCCGTCCCCCCTACGGGTATGGGTGCGTGTTGATCGTTCGTCCACCTCGCCCCATCTCGGTGCCAAAATGCTAGACAGAGGAGCTAACATCGAGCGGCGGAGGAGAAGCTGAGCAAACACTACGGAGCATGCGCCACCACCTTAGAGGAGGATGCCGTGGCTGCGGAGAAGGTGGACGAGGAGGAAGCCGACCAATTGCGATGTCGAAGAGCTGGCTTCGGATCCCGCTGGATCCGGAAAAAACCATCCCCAAGCAGGACACACGTGAGGTACGGCCCCACGGAGCATTGGAACATCCTGGCAACGGAGCCCGTGAGGAACCAATCTCCCTGTCGGAACGGCACTGACGATAGGCAGCACCATGCCGTGATAAGCAGGACTAAGGCTTGGCCAACGACCTCAAAATGATGGACTCCTGCGACGCATTCGGCAAGCACACCCTCGGCTGAGAGGTACACACACGTCGAGATGATAGGTGGCTTGGCGACCTTGGACGTGGGCCATATTCAGAACCTAGTGGACCAGACATAGAAACACCTCGCCAAAGATCACGACAGAAGCATGATGACAGGCAGAGAGAGAGCTATTGAAAAAGAATAGAGGGCTGCTCCACCGATGCGAAGCCGAAGGAGGCACCCATGTACGAGCTCTCAGCCGCCAGCAAGGAGGCGATCTCGGACCCGACCAACTTCATGCAGATCAACGCTAAACAATGGTACAATGGTTTCAGACGTGGCAAGACCCATTGTATGACAGAGAACACTTTGCTCAGCAGCTCGAGGAGACGCGTCGGAAGACATCAGAGGAGGACATACATCCGCTCGACCTTGACCTGATACAGGGCGCGCTCAGCCTCGTCAGCGCGTCAACAACGAAGGGAGTCGATCTCTTGTTGCTGACAGGCATAGTCAGAGCACTAGGACGAGCGAACACGGAGCTGGCCGGACTACTTCAAACCTGTGGACGACATCTGGCGTTGCCCCAGCAGCGTGGATCAGCTCAGTGCGCAGGGGCCAGAGTCCTGGGCATGCTGCCCCTCCCTGTCAAGCTAGGGAGCCGAGCAAGTGGGGGATGTTGCGCACAGTGGAGCGACGACCAGGAGGCGCACCTGGGCACGGTGCTCAAGGACAGCTCGGCGCTCAGGCCAAGACTTCCACAGGCTTGCCTGGACGAAACAAGAGTTGGGCTGGGGGCCTCAGCGATGGCGCTGCGATTGCAAACCGCGATGTTCTACAACATGGTGCCACTGGCACTTCTCATGCAGATCGCGACAAGAAAGTGAGTCCCAGCGGTGGTCGTCGGACTGGAGGTCGATGGCAATGCCTGTGCGACCACGCTGTCTGCAGAAAAAGTCAATCAACAGCAAACCGAGATGGCCGTCGCATTCCCTGGTGGCGGGATCAGCAAGGCGAGTGACGTGGGCGAACTCATGTTTACATCCTCCGCTGGAAGCAACGCGTCGTCGATCGCGACAAGCCAGACACGCCAGCGGTCATGGGTCGGACCTCCAGACTTGCAACGTGGGTGGCGGCACGCTTTCGACAGAAAGGTGTACCAGCGAAGGCAGCGGCGACAGCGGTCGACCTGAGCTTGGACACCGCTGGTGGGAGGAAGGGATTGTGCACCAAGAGCCGACAGCGACACGTCGAGGCGAGACACCACCTCGCCAAGATAAAACGACCAGATGAGTGGCAGCCCCAAGTCGAGAGGCGAAGTGGCTATGCAATGCAGGAGCTCTCCCACAAGTAATGTGTGGGCAGCAGCAGGCTTTCGAGACGGCCCCGGCAGCAGTACGGCGGCTACGACGACGACGGGCAGGACAGATTGCTGGAGGGAACTCTTGAAGGCGACGCCGCACAACGACCCTGGGGCTCGAACTTGGAACATGCGATCTGGTGGAGCTACGTGTGTCGGTGCTGCGACAATGGGTCGAATGATGGAAGGCGCGTCCACAGATGCGCGCGAGGGTGGTGGGGCCAGGGCACTGTGTAG